GCGGAGTAGCGAGGCACGTGGGTGTCGACGAGTTCGGACAGGGTGGGGGGGAGGGTGGGGGGGGGTGATGTGTTCTTCAAAACATTCGGGCAGATCGTCAATCTGCCGGGCACACCAGGTGCCTATCTGCGACGCGGCCTTTGCAGGCTGGTCGTAGGCGTCGCCGCAAGGCGCACGTAGGGAGAGGAGGGCTGCAGTGGAGCTCTGGCAAACCGCGCTTAGAGTGAGGATGTATATGTACCGTGTGTAAATTAAACGGCTCGCGGATAGTCCGGAACCGTCTAGTTCGGGGGGAAGGGAAGGGGCGCCGGCAGATGACGCAATTCACGCGCAACGAATTCGGCAGGTGATGCAATATTCGTAACAATATACTATGCTACGGCTGGTCCAAAATGTGACTAGTTTGTGAAATAGCCGGTTGATTCGCACATTAGCCAGTTGGTTTGCAGAAAGCTGTGTGAATGATGATGAACGCATTATTTGTGGCATAATCTAGCTAATGGTAGTTTCAGCAACACGCGGGCAAAAGTAAGGTGGTTGTCCTCACGTGAGGCGACTTGTGCGTTGGTAAAAAGTATTGTGGCATAAAAATGTGGAAAATCTAAAATCATAAAATTATAAATTGCACGTAGGGCAGACTCGTTTTCTGTAAGTCGCGAAGGCCGAAGTCCCGTTAACCCAAGATACGACAGGAACTCGAAACTACTCAACTTATCTCTCACTATCCCTTTAAACTTACCACCAGCACATTGATCCCTGCTTGTCACGTAATATCTTCTACCCTTCGTCATTCGAACGCACCTAGCCCCTCGCTTTCGATAATGTTGCATTTTATCCATCCTAGTCTCCTCTACAAAATTCATAGGCATCATATATTCGGAAAATTCCAGACATGTTCTTCATTTAAACCTTCTTTCCGGCGTCCGGGAGGATTTTATGCAAAATCTCAAACGTCCTACATTTTAAGAAACACAAAATCGAAGAAGAGAATATCAAGTGACCCTGTCAACGGTATCGTGATAGTAAATTACAATTTTTACTACTTCAGTCGCACAGACTTTTATAAATATATTTGAAACAAGAAAGACGTATAACAAATTACACTATCAAATAAGAATATACGCCAACTTTCTTCAGCAGCTAACCAGTACCGCTGACGGGGCCCAATCAGGCGCGAGAACTGGCGGCGCGACCCAATCAGACGCGAGCGCGCGAACCTCGCCTTTCACTATGAATACAGGCCCCAGAGCCGCGGGATCGTCAGTCAACGCGGCGCTGCCAACAAGGACACTTCGCCCCCGCCAGCAACGCCACTGATGATGCCTGCCACAGTTGCAGGCGAAACGTATGCACAAGTCTCCATTGGACCACGGCCTTCAAGCCTGGAAACAACTGATTTTGATGTGGAAACCGGCCGTGAAAGCCTACATTGTGTGTACTGATATGAACTTCTTTTCTTAGTAAGGAATTTTATTTTTTCCAGCATAAAAGCCATCACATTGTGAATGTGTAATATCGATTTGAAGTAAGAGGTCTGAAATTAAAGCAAAACCATCCTGAGAACTACTACTTGTATAAAAACACTACTTTAACCTTTTTATAATACATCGCCAATATCGTTCGTATTACATATACTCTGATATTGTAGAGCCTTTAAAGTTTTATTTTTTTACAATAATACACATTGAGTGCCAATACCAAATCCACCACAACTGAATTTTACATCAACAATTTTAGGGGCTGAATTACAATGAATACGTTGAAAAAGAATACTGTCCTCATTAATAATCGACCAATAATTGTTCAAAATAAGAAACTTCAGTTTGCTTCTTAGTTTATAAAATGTACTGAAAAATATTTCATTTAAACTTGCAGTTTTCTTTTGCATTTTCTTCAATTCAAGCCAGCGGGTACCCGTATTATAAATGCAATTTCTTTTCTTGAGGACTTTCTCTGTACGAAGTGATTGGAGTTAGTAGGACAATTAGGCAACAAACGAGGCAGTCGTGTATGTTTTAAAGTAGAGAGATTTTTAGACCATTATCACAATAGAACACTGAATTCTACTCAATTCCCTGCGTTCGTAAATACAGTTTACAAAGCTGAAAGTAAACATTGAACTTTTCAACATACACATATCATCACAGTTTTCTTACTTAGGGGACACAGACCCTATTCATCATGATGCTCACTATATAAATCACAGACCACATTTACATAACCACCTGGGTCAAAATATTTTAAATTATATTAAATAAATTATGAAAAAAATAGTTAAAAGAAACATTAAACTAAGTACAGACGTAGCTTCCAAAATAGTATTTATGACACACCTGGGTCAAAATATTCAAAAAATTAAAAATGAAACAAATAGGATATTAGACAATACTTCACCAGACATACATTAATATGAATGTGAAATTCTGACATTGACAGAAAACATAAAAATTTTATCTACTTACATTAATTACATTATATAACATGTTTATGTCCCATGTGAAAAAAAATAACTTCTTTCTTTTTTTAATACAAGAATTTGTCAATGTGTTTTCTTTTTACAATAATTATTTTTAAAATATTACATGCTATTCAAATCAACCTTTGGCATACATTTTCTGCACTGTGACCATTAGTACATACATGAGGCTCCCATAAAAGTTCTAATGCAGATACTGAATTCATTATTACTTTACATGCCATTTATCTTTGATCCTTTATTTTAAGGAATTCAGCTTCAAAATCAGTACACAGTTTAGTCAAAATTAAGTAACTGTGAATTATAATATTTACAACAGGAATTTTAGGATATTAAAGTTGGCCTCTTCTCTTGTTTAAAATGAGCTTAAAAGACTCATCTTCACTATTAAGATATTTCTCTGACACAATTACTTCTTTACAGGAAATACATATCATTTTCTTCAACACACCATGGCAGCAATATCCAGAGATGTACACCAAGACTGGAAGGTCTTCATTACATAATAAAATATCATTTTCAGATACTTCAAGGATAGTAAATGCGTTTTCTTCTCAATCACTTTCATAGAATGGCAAATCAGTCTCTATAAAGTCATTAATTTTTACACTACCAAATATCTTGGATTCTAATTCCACAGAAACTGTGGACTGAATCCTAATTTCTATTTAACACATTTGCCTTAAGCTAATATTGTATTGTCCTCCAGTCAATTGCCAGTAGTATCCAAATTTACATTCCCACGTGTCTGTTTGAAATTTGCCAGGTAAAAAATATTTAAATTTAAACGTAGATGTGCAATATTCATACAAATATATTATCCCTTCTGTTGTAAGTGTTATCGCATTCATGGTTTCATAAACCAGGGAACCTGAAAGATGCATATCTTTCCATCAAAGTAACCCTCTAAGAAATTTGGACAAATACTGCAAACTTTCTTGATTTTGAGGAGGCAAAGGGTTCATAAAAAGTTTAGTATGTCTTCCACCTTTTCCCGGAGTCTTGATATTTACAATCCACCACCACTTCAAAATTGTACAATTATACACAATATCAATAATTACACATAGTACATTAAATCCTATCTGTTCCAGTCCCAATTTTTTTTTTTTTTTTCAAATACTTTGTAAGTCCTCTGCACACATTTTATTTACAGGTACTACGTGTACTACCTTTTTCAGATCTGAAAGTAGGCTTGATATCATGAATGTATGAGCACTTGATGCAAGTAATTTATTATTACATGCAGTACCCACAAAGTTCCCTGCTTTGAAATCCATCAAGGACTTTAAATGTATTTCATCCATCATGAGGGTCACTAATTTATCATTTTCAGTAAATTTACCTAAGTATTTGTTTCTTGTATATTTTAAAAAAATATTTGCACTTTGTTCCATTTAAGTCCTAAACCAAATGAAGAACACAATCCCCTAATTGTACTAGGATGAGGAAATATTAAGAGCCCTAAATGCTTTAAATATTTGTAAGTATGTTGTGATATGGTAAATAGCATACACAACAATAAGAGAAATCATGAACTATACTGATATGCACTTTTCTTTGTAAGGAGTTTAATTTGTTCCAGCATAAAAGCAACGGATTTCTCAAATTCTGAATATTTGGTGTCTATTTGAAGTAGCAGAAAACTAAAAACATCATGAGGACCATTACTACTATTACTCTTACTACTACTACTTGTATCAAAACATAACAATAACCCAATTCCAAAAGGTCATTAATTTCATTCATATTATATACACTATTTATTATTGTAGTACCTCCAAGTTTAAACACTTTTTTGTCACAACAATGCACACCAAGTTTCAATTCTTTATCGACCACAAATGAATTAATTATTTTAGGAGCAGAATTATAATCAACGTGTACAAAAGAACTCTGTCTTCCTTCTTAAAAATAGACCAATAATTATCCAAAATCAGCAAGTTCGGGTTGCTTTTTAGTTCATCGAAAGTATTAAATGATATTTCATTTATTCTTGCAATGTTTTCTTTTGCACTTTCGTCAATAGCAGCAAGAAGGTACTCGTTTTCTAAACGTAATTTCTTTCTTCCGGACTTTCTATGTAGGAACTGCTTGGGCGACTCAAATAATTCGTGCAATTGGGTAACACTGAAGGCACTGTTCCAGGAGACACTCGTGGATGTTTTAATGGAAGAGTGATTTTTTGTCCATCATCACAATTGAAGACTGAATTCTTCTCAATTTCCCACGATTGAAAATGCAATTCACAAACCTGAATGAGCTTAGCAATACGTAACGAAATGACGAGTCTTTAAAAACCGTCTACCTTAGCATATTTTTATATAATTATTATAAAACAGTTTAAAGATAATGAAAAAATGTAAACATTTTTTTAAATTCTTTTGATACATTAAAATAATAAACATTGTGAATCACTCACCACTGAATGTTCTGTTGGAACAAAATTTTACCTTTTTATCGCGTGAATCCATTTTCTTCGTTGTTCACTATCAGCAGGAAACTTAAAACGGGTACATTACACTTTTTATCGTAATTGCCGCGACATTTGGGCACACTACACTTATTAACCATGATTGAAACTATTACACGCTGCAGACCACATACAACACCTACCTTCAAACTACGAGACATTCTACGTCATCTTGCGTTCGCGCGGCGACCACGCCCCACGTGATCGCCACGCTGCAACCAAGGCCCCATAAACCAATGTCAAGGAGGTCCAACGCGCAACAAAAATTGAACGTTGCGCCGTCCGCCATGATGATGGCAAAAGCACCTGAGCTGAGCATACAAATACGGCGTTTCGGAAATAAAAGCAAGAATAAACATTCAGTTAGATGCATCAATGAGAAAATATTCGTAATAAAACGTATTTTTTATTCTTCAGATCAATGACATTCCTTCACAAAGTTCAGAGAATACATTTTCTTGTTTTATACAGAAAATTTTATGGCTAATCTCAACTGCAAAACTGCTTGTTAGAAACAAATTATATTGGGTTTTGTTTATATAAACGTTTACTGGCACATGAACAATCTTTCATAATGAAGTATGATGGAGAGGAAGACACTCTTTGTGTTTACAAATTTTCCTAAAAGCACATCAACTTGATTATACACAAGATTTAGAAGGAAAATTGGACACTAATAAGTTTCAATTAACCTATAACACTTCAGGACAAAATTGAATAAATGAAGTCTTGAATATGGAAAATAAATTATTACAAACATTCTAACCGATAATATTGAATATTTCTAGTAAACTTTTTCTTTTGAAAGGATTTAGGGAAATTTGACAGGGTTGTAATAAAACTGACTTTTTTTTAAAATAGAATTTTATTTATTGGTTCATGAAGGTGATTGACTTTGTGC